ATCAACCATATCTTTATTATCTTTACAAATGATATTTATTTACCGGTGAGTCAGGATCAACCCAAACAATTCCAGTTGAGCGGTGTCCATCCGTTCTTGTATCATTTAAAGATGCACGTGGGTGCTGCCACACAAGTGTTTCATCTGGAATATTGCGTAAGGTATGGTCATTTTGCTTTTTATTCAATTTTTTTTTTCGCTCTGTATAAAACAGTAAGCATCAGAGAGTTGGCGCATCCTTGCATATTTGAATTCATTGTTAAACTCGCACAATATACGGATAAATTTGGTTAAAACAATTACACTGCAGTGTTTTTTTGAATTAAGCTTGAAAAACTCCAGCATGCTTTAATTCTCTTTGAAATTATCAAACCTCACTGAGGTGCGGATGTTTTTGCTAGAGAGGAATGTATTTTGTCAGTGGGAAGTGAAAGAGTTTTTTTTCGCTCTGTATAAAACACTAAGCTCAGTTGAATGAGTAAGCAGATAAAAGTAAACAAGTAAAAGCAAATCGTGTGCGGAAATAATAACACATAGTTAAATATAGGCAAAAGCAATAGTATATAATTAAGGGTGTGCAGTTAACTATACAGTTACACAGCGAAACCTATAATGCTTGTCAGTGGCTGCATTCATTTGTCTGTGCATGTGTCTGATGAATAAAGAAACGCAAGCAGTCGTGGCGCTGCTATTTGTATTCCCTTTTTTCTCTTGCCTTTGCAAAAATTTCTTTGCATGTCTTTAAAAAATCACTTTTTTCGAGTCATTTCGTTTTCGCCAGGGCTATTTTTAATTTAGTTAAAAAAAAGAAAACTTTCGACTGTCTTACAGGTCACAACAGCAATGGTCGCAATAATAACCAGAATGATTCGGATTAGATTGAAATAGAAGCCACCAAGATGTGGTTTTGTTAGCGCTACCAGGATGACTTGGCCCCAGAGATAAAGCACGCCAAAGATAAATGCAAATGTAGCACCAATACCATGCACTATTCCAACTGCTGTCTCCTAAAATTCCTTCAGATTTTAAACTGTTCACAATTTCCTTCAATTTGCTGGACTGTGCAATATGTGCACAGAGAAGCAACAAAACTTTTTTCCGCATAATTTATTGAATAGTCCTACGAAAACTACTGTGCTAACGGTATAACTCATCAAATATAAATATGTAAGCAGTGGTCTCAAAATATTTGTTATCAGTCGTTAAGCCGTTTGATAAGAAAGTTCGACAAAAAACTCCTTGTGTTTAAATGGCGGGGTTTCTTTTTTCGCAACAGCAATATTAAGCTATACAAGGACAGCAAGCAGCACTAGTTGTAGTGTTTGGTGCAAAAACGATGCTTGACGCATCCAACAAGCTCAGTGATGCCCACCCAGGTTTTGTTCCATATCTGAATGAATATGCACACCACTGGGCCAGGACAACCTGACATTTTTGCGATCAGCTGTTCTGGACACAGTTTTACAATGCATGGTGCTCGCGCACGGGCATCATGCACCATTCGTTGCCCACAGCCTCATTGGCCTTCCTCCTCTCATCACTCCAAATCTTTCCTTGCTATTCATAACTGGAGAACATCAGTGTGACATTACAGTTGACTCAACTTTGGGAACTGTTGGTCAGCAAAAAAATGACCTTCAACCAACCGCTTCACTATGTATATGCAGACTTTTTTTCGTCCTGTTTCCCACATGAAAACCTGGAAGGCCAGAGGCAAAAAAC